TCATAACTCAAATTATTGTAGAGTGCGTCCCATAATAAATATTGCGCAATGCTCAGATCTACCATTGTAATTTTTTTATTTTTGAGATGGGATATTTTTAAAAACTATTTATTTTTTTTTAATCAAAAAATGTGTAAGTGAAAAATTTGTCAACCAAAAAATTTTTTTTTTATATTTATTTTCATAGAAAAATTTTCTGTATTTTTCCTCGCCCCGTTCTCGAGATATCTGGAAAACTATTAAATCGATTTGTTATGGTTTTTGTGCTGTAAAGTTTTTAAAAATGTTTTAATCAAGCTCAAATTTCATATTTATTTATTATTTATGTTTATACATCAACCCTAAAAATTTGAAACAAATCAAACACATGAAGTGTGTGAATGAACCCCGTCAGTTTTGGTATGAAACACAACATATACAAATTTTTAGTAATTTGTTCGAACATTTTATTTAGCCCACCAAATATCAGAAATCCGCAACATCAAACTGATAAAGGAATTCTTACTTGGTTTCACTAAAAGGAAATTTGCTAATTTCCGTTTGTAATTCATTTTAACGAAATACAAATTACAAACCTACGTGAAGAAAGTTTACGAGCAATGTTTATCCAATTAAGTTTTTTCGACAGTGATTTATGCTTCTTAAAAGCTTTGTGCAAGTTTTGTGGTTAAAAGGACAAGTCTCGTTTAATTTAAATGCCATTGGAAACTTATATAAACGTACATATGCACATATGTATGTATATTGTATATATGTACATACATACTCGTACATGTACGAACATTTACTTCTTATGTCTACCCAAAATCCGGAATGGAATAAATATTCTGCATACTTCTTAATTTATGAAATAACAAGCACAGCCAAGCGCAACTGTAACAAAAATGCAGTTCTTATTTAAAATTTATGTCTCAATTGCCCACGACAGCTAACCAATTGGCAAAGGGAACGTAGCATACAGACATATAAAATATTTGCTATTAGAGGTAAGCGAAGAAAGAGAATATTGCACGCAAGAAGTTAAATTGTAACCTCACAAATTGTCTTTCACAACACAACTCAACTTTTTAGACAAGAAACGTGAAATCGTGAGGTGCTGGAAGCGAATCCCTGCCAGTCCTGCGAATTTGAGCGGAATGATGAACTTGTTTGCGCTAACGGTGACAGTGGTAACCGACGACTGTCTACAGTGTTGCTTTCGTTGGTGGCAAAACCTCATAAATTCCATAGTGCAGAGTGCAACATAAAAAACACGCACGCAAAGCATTTCCCAGCTATTTATGCTTATAATTTTTTTGGGGGGAAATCAAACAATAAACATATGTATGTAAATATGTATGTACGGTATCTATGTATGTGTGCATTTCGTGGCGGTAAGAAATGACAAACAAAATTTGCGTGGAAAATCTTCAATGCCCATAATGTAGATATAAATAACTAGGCAAGGACTCATGAGCTTTGGTACAGATATTTTGTTTGCATGTAGAATACCGTGAAAAGTTTTTTATAGGGACTATTTTGATTTTGATTAAATTACATTCTTCTTTAACCAGAAGCTCTAATACGACGAAATCGGAGGACATAATATTACAAACAAAGTTTGGTAAAGTGTTAAATTAAAGTGGAAAACTTCGGAAAGGCAATAATTTTGAATACGTTTGCGCCGCGTGCCTATGATGGTCGCCTCGGATATTTTGATTTTTTCCATGAAAGTTTAGTCGAAAGATGAAGCTGAAAAAATAAATTTTTTCCTGAAATGGATTTTTTGAAGGAGGTACGATAGCTTGATAAATTTCGATAACTTGATAAATTTTATTAACTTGAGCAATTTCGATAACTATTTCTATAAAAATTTGTATAACTCGATAACTATTCCTAAAGTTCGACAACAAATTTTCTGTGTCTATCAATTTCGGCAACTCAATAAACATTTATTAATTTGAATAATTCGATACGTTGCAATAGCTTAATAAACATGCATAACTCAATAAATTTCGATAACTATAAACTTCGATGATTCGATAAATTTCGGTAACTCGATAACTTCCGATAGCTCAATTTTGTTCGACTCAATTTATTTCGATCCTATCGAAAAAAGTTCAATAAATGTCCTAGCCCTTTCAGTTACCATATTTCTTATGTACATCTCATTGTTTTTATTTTCGCCTTTATCTTCAATTTTGCCTTCACTTTTTTTTCTTAAACGTCATCATTTATTTCTTTATCATCACATTTGTCTTTATTACAAGGTTTAATTTCCCATACGTATTAAAACAAAATGCGAAAACAAATCAATTTGAACAGGTTGCAACAACAACTATACACAAATACTGAAATTTAAATAAAAACGATTTGGCCGCAATTTTCAACCAATTATGAAACCGTAAAAGCTCTATTAAAATGAGGTTTGTCGTTGTTAGGGAAAGAGTAACCACTAATCCTCACCTTTCCAATATGCACCATTGCTCCACGGTTTTTGAATTGGCAGTGTCGAAGAAGATCAACTGGAAAATGGCTCTGGTCGCAAGAAGGCGATTAAAAATTCAGCTCTCGCCATCTCGTTGACCACTTTTTTACTCGCAATTCTGCATTGGCCTGGTACCCAGCGCAGTGTAGGTGTCTTTCCCTGCCTATCGTTGAAGAGAATCACAATACTCCCTGAAAAGCTTGCAGATATCAGCCTATTGGAGGAGGCGTTTAAAATCATTTTCAGCACATCACAAAAATACTAACATACCTCTCAGCTTGAAAAATATTTTTTAACAATGAGATTTTTTCTCGAAATTCCTATCGGATGCTTTTTCTTGAGAATACTACCGTCAAATATTCGTAGCAACAACTTTTTTGAGGTTGCTACATCTTGAAAAAAAAAAATTATTGTACATAGTAAGACACTCCAGAGCCGCGATTGATCAAGTTCTAACTATGCCACGCCCGTGTGGTCTCCGACGAGAGGTAGGATGCAGTGGACACAGATATGCACTTCGGGCAGCCAAGAAATGCCGCCAGAATACCACATATATTGTGAGGCCCAAATGCTCGCAGTAAGGGATCGTGCTCAGCCAGCAGTTCCTAGCAGAGTGCTACAGACGTGAGCACCCGAGCAGACACTTGTTCGAGACGGAGCCTCCATCCAGGCAAGTCAGAAGACATTCCAATGCTGCGTACAATAGCCAATGGACTCGTAATTGTACAGACTGATTACCAATGGCTCTCACAGGGACACTGGTACCATCTACTACCACAGACTCCCGTCCTGCGAACACAGTCCTAAAAGTTCCATCACGACCTGAGGACCATAGCGAAATTCAAGTACCGAAAGAGACCCGCGCAACTCTGGCCCAATTATGGTCTCGTTATTGTGGTCGTCTCAACTCCCATCTATCCAGACTCGATCAAATTAGTGTTCGGCATTCGAAATTGCCAATAAAAGATGGTGAATGGGGGCCACCTGTCATATTGCGAAAACACTCTTGCCAGTCATAGACGCCCAACACATCAAGTCTCTACTTAATCTAAAGAATCAGGACATTCTCATATTGATGGAATTTTCACCGGGCAGTGGCTGATTGGATTACACGCAGCAAGACAGAGCGCACCCAGAAACGACTGCAGCAGAAGCTGCATAGATGAATGGAAAGAAGAAACGAGAGAAGATCTCTGTCATTGCGCAGTTCTATCAAAATGGGGAGCCAAAGCTCTTGGCAAATATTTTCAAAGCGATTAAAAACTTTTTTGATAAGCACCAAGTGGCGCAAAGGGGAGCGGGTATAAATGTGTATAAGTCAGTCCACATAGGACTGCCGCCCAACCCAACTAAACTTTTGAACAAGGTGTGACCAAACTAAGATCTCGTGTATAACTTCTGCAGAGACTTACCTAGGCATAGCCGTTCAATATGAAACAAAAGGCTGCGCTGAAAATATCTGAAATCCATGTATCCGACGGCATATCCGATTAATAGGTAGTCCACCACACGGGACTTAAACTTTAATGCTCACGAAAGTATTGCCTAGAGACGATGAAATACATATATCGGTCAAGAAGCATACGTCTCTCGACAGCCCAGTATTTTCAATCAGAAAGAATAAAAAAAACTTTTACATTACTTGCACTTCATAAAATAAAAAATTATACAATGTTACGAATGCAGTCGACTTAACTACCATCAAAGTCATATTTGAACAAAAGCAGAAACAATTTTTTCACATTTTTCGCCTGAAGACAATTTGAAAAGTCCCGAACACCGCCCACCCGCGCAGCGAATATCAAATTTCGTGATTTGACAAATCATTTTTATTGACTAAACATTACACCAACAACAAACATACACCAACAGCACTGCATTTGTATGTACATATAAATAAAAATTGTCACCACACCAACAAAACGCGCCTCAACAAAAATGTCGCCTCACTTGGCGCAGCTAAAAGTTTAACGCCACCCAATGTGCCAACCCAGCCACTGTGTGCCACATCACAGTAGAGACGCAGTTAGTTTGTAAATTTTTTAACCACTTTGCGTTCTTCACTTTTTACAAGTATCCACTTCTTCCTAGTCGTACACACAAATCGAGAAGTCAAAGCAAACGAGTGAAATGACTGTGGTAATAAGCTAGAATCATACAAAAATTGCATTTGATATGACTGCGCGCGCGCGCCTATATTTGGTAGATGGGAGTGTTGGGTGTTTCTTGGAACATTGTGGATTTATGTGCAATTGTACCAACTCGTCGAAGGGTTCTTGGGCGAACCTGCAAATTTTGTGACTGCGAGCATTTTCTGTCGTGAATTGAAATTTCATTTGAAATTTCATCACGTGCACAATTGGTTTATCAGCAGTTATAGATGGCGCTTTATGGCGTTCG